CCCAACAGCCGTGGCAGGAGGGGAGGTGCTGGGTGGTGTACCCCAGCCCTGGCCCCCAGAGTCGCTGTGACGCAAGCAGCAGCACAGGGCTAGGTGAGGGGGGCAGGGCAAGCACTGGGGGCTCTAGGGGTAGGGCTAGTGCTGGGGGGCTATGGAGGGTGAGCTAGTAGTGGGGGGGCTATGGAGACGGATGGCATTGGGCGGCTCTCAGGATGGGGCTAATATTAGGGGCTAGTAAGGGGAAGGCTCGGGGGGTTGGGTGCAGTGGGGCTCGATACAGAAGGCTGGTACTGGGGGGTCAGGTTGTGGGGGGGGCTAGTATTGAGGCGTTTGGGATGGGGGACTGGCACTGAAGAGGTTGGGTGCAGGGGACTCTGGGGTCAGTGGCTTGTGCTGGGGAGTAGTGGAGGGCTGGGGAGGTCTAGGAGTTAGAGCTGGCACTGGGAGCTGAGCTTTTACTTGCATATTTGTGTATTCGTCATTTACATAATGAAGATGCAAATATGCAAATAAAATGTTACTGGTCTGCCCAAAGTTTGTGAACGGGTTTCCTGATCCCCGATAACAAAAAGTTGGGAACCACTGGATTAGAAGATAAGTGCACTTGAACCTCTTTAATCCAGCAACCCTGGGAAACAATATATACAGGATTAAAGATTTTGTGGGGCCAAGCGCTCCAGGGGCAGGGCGTGAGGGAAATGAAAATGGGGTGCTTAGCTGACATCCCCTTCCTTCTCCACTGCTATAGGAGCGATGGGGAAAAGCCTCAAGGGAAGTGCGTCACTGCGCTGCCATTCCGCCAGCTAGAGAGAAGAGGGGGAATGGGAGTGGCAGTGCACAGACCCGCTTCCTCCTCTGTACAATGGGTATTCCTGGATTAGGGACACCTGGAGTACAGAGGTTCAAGTATAATAGGCTTTCTGTTCAAGGGAACACCTGATAATTTCCCCAAATTATGTTTGTAACATGGTGCGCACAACAGCAACAATGCAATTGGAGAGCTCACTGAATACAGAAAATAAAATGGGGAAAGAAATTTGGAAGCTTTTGGAAAGTATGAGACACATGTATTTATGCAACTCTCTCATGGAGAGCTATGCTGAAGTCAAAGAGGGGATTTTGGTTTCCTTCATTAAAGGCTTATTAAATGAAGAAATGGGACAGTCGTCGTTTTGCTTCAATAGTTGGAGGTCAGAGAGGCGGGTCTGATCTCCTCAGAATATTAATGTCTGCCTTCAGCTGGGGGAAATGAGCCGTCACTTGAGTTAGCTGCAGCTTTATGTGCTCGTCACTAGGGATCCCCATATGTCCTGCGATCTTCAGCAGTCGGAAATGGCAGAGCTAAGTTGTAGAGAGCAGAGGGCTCTCATTAGTATTCATAACAGGTAGCTCAGCTCAATGTGCCCAGAGCAAGTCTGTTTAATGTTGATCAGCTGTCCATCTGATACATTGAATTGATATGGACATTTCCTCCAAGGGCTGCCCTGACAATGACAGCAGGAGCATCGGGATGTCTTGTTAGTCTTTTTTTTTATCAGTGCTTGAAATTTGGTTAACCCTTTAGTATACCCAAGGCAAGAATATGTGCAGTACCATGTCGTTTGTGTGGCTGTGTATACAGAAGGATTTTCTCCCCTGCCTTTTTGAGAAACCATGTCAGTCTTGAAGTTAGCTGCCTAAATGGTGAATGCTTTGCCCCCTGCTTTGTCTCTCAAAAATAACACTTCCCTGCATGCAACAGGATAATGAATAATGAATGTCAGCTTTTAGAACTCTTTTGTTGAATAATTTTTGTTCTATGGTAATAAATATCGTGAAAACATCAGTTCACCTCCCCACAGCCACTCTGCTTTCTTACTTGCTGTTATGCTGCAGCAGAAATCAAACCTAAACATGGATTAATAAGGATCGGTGGGGTAATTTATTCACTGAATAAATCAGTCCTGAACCCCTTTCCTTGGAAATAAAGTGTGGAGAACATAACAGGGCTCTGTTTAGGATTACAATTTAATTTTATGTTTGCTACATCAGGTCTTGATTCTGCAAACCTTTTAGAACATACATAACTTTACTCATGTGAGTTATTTTCATTTAAGTAGTTTCACTGACATTAGTAAGTAAAGTTGTGGTTGTGCTTTCTAAATTACAAGATTAGGGGCTAAATGTACCAATTTCATGAATTGCAAACTGTGAAATTAACAAGAGGTTTATTGCTTTGCTCCTTGAATGGTATTGGTCTTTCTCTTTCTTGCATTCAGTTGTTGTGCCTGCTTGCCATGCCATGCCATGATTCTACCATAGGCTTGAGCAGAGGTGGGAAATAAGGGTATGTCTACACTACAGCACTAATTCGAACTAACTTAATTCGAATTAGTTAATTCGAACTAAGCTAATTCGAACTAGTTTTTAGGTGTAGATGCACTAGTTCGAATTAAGTGCGAACTAGCGGTTTGCATCTGTAGCGCCTATCAAAGTTAATTCGAACTAAGCTAATTCGAACTAGTTTTTAGGTGTAGATGCACTAGTTCGAATTAAGTGCGAACTAGCGGTTTGCATCTGTAGCGCCTATCAAAGTTAATTCGAACTAAGCTAATTCGAACTAGTTTTTAGGTGTAGATGCACTAGTTCGAATTAAGTGCGAACTAGCGGTTTGCATCTGTAGCGCCTATCAAAGTTAATTCGAACTAAGCTAATTCGAACTAGTTTTTAGGTGTAGATGCACTAGTTCGAATTAAGTGCGAACTAGCGGTTTGCATCTGTAGCGCCTATCAAAGTTAATTCGAACTAAGCTAATTCGAACTAGTTTTTAGGTGTAGATGCACTAGTTCGAATTAAGTGCGAACTAGCGGTTTGCATCTGTAGCGCCTATCAAAGTTAATTCGAACTAAGCTAATTCGAACTAGTTTTTAGGTGTAGATGCACTAGTTCGAATTAAGTGCGAACTAGCGGTTTGCATCTGTAGCGCCTATCAAAGTTAATTCGAACTAAGCTAATTCGAACTAGTTTTTAGGTGTAGATGCACTAGTTCGAATTAAGTGCGAACTAGCGGTTTGCATCTGTAGCGCCTATCAAAGTTAATTCGAACTAAGCTAATTCGAACTAGTTTTTAGGTGTAGATGCACTAGTTCGAATTAAGTGCGAACTAGCGGTTTGCATCTGTAGCGCCTATCAAAGTTAATTCGAACTAAGCTAATTCGAACTAGTTTTTAGGTGTAGATGCACTAGTTCGAATTAAGTGCGAACTAGCGGTTTGCATCTGTAGCGCCTATCAAAGTTAATTCGAACTAAGCTAATTCGAACTAGTTTTTAGGTGTAGATGCACTAGTTCGAATTAAGTGCGAACTAGCGGTTTGCATCTGTAGCGCCTATCAAAGTTAATTCGAACTAAGCTAATTCGAACTAGTTTTTAGGTGTAGATGCACTAGTTCGAATTAAGTGCGAACTAGCGGTTTGCATCTGTAGCGCCTATCAAAGTTAATTCGAACTAAGCTAATTCGAACTAGTTTTTAGGTGTAGATGCACTAGTTCGAATTAAGTGCGAACTAGCGGTTTGCATCTGTAGCGCCTATCAAAGTTAATTCGAACTAAGCTAATTCGAACTAGTTTTTAGGTGTAGATGCACTAGTTCGAATTAAGTGCGAACTAGCGGTTTGCATCTGTAGCGCCTATCAAAGTTAATTCGAACTAAGCTAATTCGAACTAGTTTTTAGGTGTAGATGCACTAGTTCGAATTAAGTGCGAACTAGCGGTTTGCATCTGTAGCGCCTATCAAAGTTAATTCGAACTAACAAACGTTAGTTCGAATTAACTTTGTAGTGTAGTCATACCCTAAGCAATCCATGGACAGGATGCTGTTCCCCAGGGTGTCTGGGCTTTTGGTGCCTGCTGTCCTTGAAATCAGATTAATTGCCAGACACGACCACTTTAGAAAAAATATCCTTTATCCTCTTCTTCGTACAGTAGCCTAGAAGGTCAGGTAAGCACTCTCTGAAAGAGAGGCAGGTGCCACTTCAGTTTAGAGATTGCCCTTCTTTGCCAATCCTTAGCAATTCTCTCCATTCTGTGGGTTGACTTTGTTATGTAGTCCACTTCCCCTGAACATTCCTACATTCTGATACTGGTCCACAAAATTTAACATTGTTTTTACAGCTGTTACATCATTTCTCCTTTTCCATAGCTGGAAAATGCCAGAGAAAGGAGAGCTATATATAGAGAGAAAATACTTCTTTTTCAGTGCAGAGATTGGAGCTTCCTATATTGAGTAGGGATGTGAAGGGATAACCAGTTACCCAGTAAGTATTGCCTTATTGGCATGATTACTGAGGTAACCAGTTAACCAGTGCCAGGCCTGGCCTGAGCAGCCAGTGGTGTACCATGGCTGGGGGGCTGCTTCAGCACAGCCGGGCCCACCGGACCTCTGCCGAGGGGCTGTTCTAGTGGCTCCACCTGTGGCATGCCGCAACAGGCCAGTTAACATTTTAAATGGGATTTTACATCCCTAATATTGAGCCCATCAGAATGAAAAATTGACTTGTAAAATTTAATCGAGCACTGTTCTGCACAATCTCTTACTTTGTGCAAATTTCCAAAGGAATGTTGATAGTCTCCACAATTTCTACTAAACAGATCAACTTCTTCCCTCACCCTTACCAGCACTCTGTGGTTGGTTTCCTTACTAGTTTCTTTTAAGGGATGTTGTAAAAGTCTTTAAAACAAGAAAAATGTTGACTAGTAACTTATTTGTATTCTCTGAGAAAATTAATACTGAGGAGAAGAATTTTTCCTTATGGAAACCGAGGATTTGACCGTATCATGTTATAATTGCGGAGATGACATCATACTGTCTCTAATTACTTCTTGTGCACTACAATTTCTAAAGAATTATGGTGAAGCAACAATTATAAAACATTCTTGTGTAGATGAGGAACTGTAGAATGGTTTATCAATAATCTGCATTGTGTTTGTGGCTTCAAAAATAAATATTTTATCTTTGTTTTAAGTCAAAGAAGTCTGGCAGAGATTACAGAGCTGATCCACACTGCCTTTCTGGTGCATCGTGGGATAGTAAACATTGGTGAGCTGAAGTCTTGCGATGGCCTACTGAAGGACATGCAGTTTGGAAATAAAATAGCTGTCCTGAGTGGAGATTTTCTTCTAGCAAATGCTTGCACAAGCCTAGCTCAGTTACAGAACACTAAGGTAAAAATGTTTCTATTACTCTAATATGTAACAGCTCTGGTTGTTAGATAGCTACTGAACAGAAAAAGCTGAATTGGGGCATCTTTTCACAGTAAAAATTGGCATAGTTCCATTTTATGTGCAGCTGGATTGACAGCTGGATGCTGCTCCAGGTAGGTCTACCAAAATATTTCAGAAATGTTACCACTGCTAAGGCTTTAGTATATGTTCTGAAACAGTGATTCTATAGATAGTAGTGGATGAAAAGACAAGGCTGGTGAATTAACATATATATGCTGCTGCGTCTGCAAGAGTGTAGAACAGAGACAGTACAGTAACTCTTTGGCAACATTCCAGGTGTGAAGTTCAAGACATAGTTAATTATTTAGTTTTATATTGTGCCTTTTTTTGGAAGGAAAAATGGATTCTGTTTCTTCTACTTTTTAGGGAACTCTTTGGGATCTTTTCATTTTGGTCTGCACAGGTGTGATTTGCCTTTTTGCAATTTGTAAAAAGTTGTTAGACATCCAGATAGCTTTGGGCATTGAGTGCCCTATGAACAAAAGTCCATTCTCATATTAAAGGACAACTGTAGCCAGTTTGTTCCGCATCAGTTGTCTGAAAGTTTACGAGATAGGAAGGGTTTTACATTATGAATAAACTAGAATATATGTGTATATGCATTTGTTTATGTGTAAAATGATATTTATGCATTAGGTGACTAGTATTGTCATACAGGTGAAATTTGTAAAGTGGAAAAGTCCAAAATGGCTGAGAACTTGAATCCCATTGATGACTGAATCTGGTGATGCCCTAAAAACAAAGAGACTTCTCAACCATGTTGTCTGTCTGCCTGGAATGGCTTATGAATGTGAGTGCCAACTTCAGGGCAGACAGTTACAAACCAGGGCATAAACTCCAAACTGGTTTTGAGTTCTGTACTTAGTTTTCTTTGATCAAGTATCAAGTGTGAACCCAACAGCCTTAATGTGGAGTCAGAAACAGTCCCCTTGGGCATTTTGATCTATCTTGCCATGCAGGCAAAATTGCCTTTGTGATAGATGGTCCTTGTAAGCTGGCTGGTGTAGTCCTGGTCCCCAGACCTGTGCTCCAGCTGGTGAATAAACATCCCTTTAAACTAGGGATGTTAAGGACTAGTCAACTATCCAATAAGCAAATGCTTATCGGATAGTTGACAGAATAGTTGGCTAGTCGCTTCCCCCCCGCCCCTGCTGCCTCTATCCAATAGAGGCAGGAAGACAGGGAGGGGTTAGAGGTACTTCAAAGTGGCAGTGCCGCACGGAGGTCCTGGGCTCCATGTGGCGCTGCCGCTTTGAAATGCAGTGGCTCCTCCCAGCATTTCAGAGCGGCAGCGCCGCATTGAGCCTGGGGCAGCTGGGGACTCCCCTGGTGCTGCTGCTTTGAAATGCTGGGAGGAGCCCAGGATCATCTGGGGAATCTCTAACTGACCCTGGGCTCCATGGGCATTTCAAAGCAGCTTGGAGCCCAGGATCAGCTGGGGAATCCCCAGCTGACCCCGGACTTAGTGCAGCACTGCTGCTTTGAAATGCGGGATGCTGTCGTACCTCGGTGTTCTGTACCTTGGTACCTTTGGTGGTCTGAACTGTCAGTGTCAGTGTCGTCTGGTCAGGGTCGTCCTGGCGCCCTCCTGACAAGACCTCTACTCCGTCGGTGATGATTGTGTGCGTAACAATCGGTACTCCCTTTATCTAGAGTGTTAGACCCCATGCACTTGGCTCAACACAGGAGATCTCCTGAGAGGCCCCAGAAATGACAGATGCAGGCAAGGATTGAAATCAATCGAGCAGGTTTATTGTCAAATGCGAAGCTCCTACCAGTTGGTAACAGAGATCAGTACAATGTTACACCACTGGGCACTATGGCCCGCGTTGACAAGGTACCAACACCAGGCAGGCCTCTTGCCATATATCAGATATTAACAGCGGTTAGTCAAAGTTAAGTACTGTGCATTCTGTAAGTTTAGGCAATGACACCTGCCATTCAGGTGCCTAGTGCGCCTCCTCCTCCCCATCCCTCCCCCGCCCCAGGTCGGCCGGAGAGCACCCTCTGCAGTGTCCGTTTATAGACAGGTACAAACAAATTACATCACTTCTTTACGTACCAGGCTGCCACCCTCTGTTGCCTCATTACCACCCCTCGCCTTATGGAAGGGGGGCTTACTTACTATCCTTCGTGCTGTCAATCTTGACTCGGTCCTGAACCTAGGTTGGTATGTGCATTAGTTTTGGGGGAGTCTTTGTACCAAGACATTTCTTATTAAGATGTTCCTCTAATCCCCTTTGGCTTACAGTTTGTACTCAGTGTCTCCCTGTGTCCTTCCATGCTCAACCTAACTTTTATAATTACACAGTTATCAGTAGGGCCTCTTTCTTGGCTCCTGTGTTACTGAACCAAAGTCTTGCTCACTAGATTGCAGGCCTGTTGCTGTTTTCGTGTTACAGGTCTCTATTTAGGCCTGCTGACTCCATGTTACTGACCCTCAACTTACTACAGATGCAACCAGGAATTAGCTGGGGCCTCCCCAGCTGACCCCGGGCTCCCTGCGACATGCCAGCTTTGAAATATACAAGAATCCCCAGCGGGGGCTCTTGTACATTTCAAAGACGGAACCTGGAAGTGCCTATCGACTTGTAAATTAATCGCTAGTTAATATCCCTACTTTAAACCCTTGGCGCGGAGTACAGGATAGGCCCAGCAAAAAAAGACAAACAAATAGTAGTTGAACAACTAGTAAGCCCAGGCCCTGGTTCAGGACAGGGTAGCAAAACAATTCAGTTTAATACTTAGTGAGGCCCAGGCCCAGACTCAGGGTGAGGCAGCAACAAAAACGCAGTCCCACAGTCAGTAAGGCCCAGGCCCTGGTTCAGGGTGGGCAGCAACAAAAACACAGACCCGCAGTCAGTAATGCCCAGGCCCTGGTTCAGAGCGGGGCAGCAACATAAACACAGTTCCCTAGGTAAGACAGAGGAGGGGGAGACTGCCACCTGGTCTGTGGGGTGGCAAGGGGAATGTGGGCCCTCCATGATCTAGACAAGGTTCTTTCAGTAAAAACCCTTTTTTGAAAGAACCAGTAAACCTCATGTTTTCAGGCATTACAGTTCTTTAGGAAAAAGTTGGAGTTTTTTTGGTTTTTTTGTTTTTGAAAGAACCGCGTCTAGACAGCAGTTTCAGTTTCGAAATACCAATTTTCGAAAATGCACGGCTTCTATTATGCAAATGAAATATGGGAAATTCAAATCCCAACTTCATTTGCAATTTCTATCTGCCTAATTTACATCCCCTTTTCGAAAGAGGGATGTAGTTTAGACATGCCCTTTTAGAGCAAACACTTTTATGTTTACCAGAGCAAACACTTAAATATTAGCTTATAACATTGGGTACAGATGTTATAAGTTAGAGTAATAGGTGCAACAACTTTAAAGTGTTTGATAAAGTCTACACGCTAAACACATTTTTATTAGGGCTGTCAATTGATGTACATTAACGCCTGTGATTAACGCAGGGAAGGATTAACGCGTTAATCGCAGGCATTGATGCTCTACTGCCCCTTTGAAGCGCGGGAGCCTGAGATCAGCTGGAGTCCCCAGCTGATCCCGGGCTCTGTGAGGCGTATTGGCCTTGGCATAAGGTGGCAATTGATCTGCCATCATCACATGTGCCTCTAGTTGTTTTGCACTGACTCAACAGATGTTCTAGGCTTCGCAGTGACAATCTTGGAATCTTACTATATAAGTAGTACACAAAGTGTACTTATCTGTCTATCCACTACTGTGTATAATAAAAATGTACATCTTATATAAAATAATTCCACGCTGTTACGTTATAAAGACATTTGCTATTTCTGAGCCTAATGATGCCATTCTGTTTAGTGCCTTCTGCATACCCATGGTATGTGAATGTGTATGGTACTGTCGTCATTTGTAACACTAAAAGAGTTTAGTATAAGAGAAGGTAAATCAACTTACAACCTGCTTAACTAATGGTTTTTTATCTGGAAAAAATGTAATAATAAAGAGTCAGAAATATTTTCTGTAACCTTTGCAGTACTTTTTTTCTGATTAAACTGTTATGTGAAACAGTTTGGAAATTGATTTAAGATTAATATAATTATATTTGTTTTGTATCAATTAAGGATTCGTTCTTCAGCATTTCAGGAGATCCTAGATGAGACCCTCAGTGAAAATCAAAGGAGAATATAACCCTAAATAAACCTAGATTTTAACTCAAATTGAGAGACTACTTTGAGAAAATAATAAATCATTAAAAATTCCAGGAAGAATAGTCCCTTAAAGCAGGGGTGGGGAACCTCAGGTCCGGATGCGTCCCGTGACTTTCCTGGATCCAGCCTCCAAGGCTCAGGGCTTCTCCCCAGCACTGGGGAGCCCGCACTAGCACTCCAGCCTTCTTGCTGCCCCTCCATGGGGCTGGAGCACACAAAATCTGCTAGCCTGGGCCCTCCTAGTCTTTGGTGTGAGAGGGGAAAGTGGGCAGCGTCTTTCTCCTTCTCAGTCAGGAGCCACGTGTCAGTGAGGGTTGTTTGTTTGTTTCTCACTCGTGTGCGACCCCCAATTGATTTTTCTGTGGGTCAGTGGCCCCTGACCCAAAAAAGGTTCCCCACCCCAGTGGTAAAGACTTGACAAGAATCAGACCTATAGTAAATTGAAGCACAAGTACAAAAGGGTGCTATATTTTTCAAGCAGTCGTCATACTGCTCATCTGAAAATTCTGCCAAAACATTTTAACACTTTTTTCATTTTTCTGACATCTAAATAGTGTTATAGCTTCTGCATACTATAAGTGGGATACCACCATGGAAACTGATTTACTACATTATTCTCTCACATTTCAACCCTACTTGAAAAGTAAGAAAAATGTAAGGCAAGCTATAGAAATCTCTTGACAGGTGCAGTGATTTCAACATACGGTATTTATTCTTTAGAAAGTAGTTAATTTTCAGATCTGTGCAGCTATTTTTTAGC